GCCAGCAGGGGTCGAACCTGCGACCTTGGGCTTATTAGACCCACGCTCTAACCGACTGAGCTATGGCGGCGCACGTTCTTCGCCCACTGAGCCGCTCCTACCTCACGTCTGCGTCTTCGTTAAAACCAGTTTTATCCTCTGCTAACACAGCCATTGTTTGATTAAGAACATCTCCAAGAATAAATGAGTGCTCGTCAGGGATTTGCGCTGGCCCTTAAAAGATGCGTCGTGGAAAAGGAGTGGAATTCAGAATGAACAAAAATTAACCTTTTATAGTAGATGTCACGGATTGTGGTAGAATGAGGCCAGGACGAGACTTTAATTTCACCTTAAGCGCGTATTTTCAGAAAACCTAAGAAGATAGTGTGGAAGAGTCCCTAACGAGAGGCAAAGATTCTCGAAAGGAAAAGATAACAAAGCAGATTACTTCTCCAAGAATTTAAAAAGAGTTTAGCCAGATAGAACTTACATCACCCTTTCCATTGACACCCTGATGTATTACTAACCGACCGACATCAGTACCAGCATTAGCTTCCCATAAGTCCGACAGATAGCGGGGTACCTAAAAAAGTTTCGATTGAGCATTAAGTAAATTTCACAACAACTGCTCACCTTTACAAGCCATACTCCACGTTTAGCCATTTCACAATCAACGGCATGCTCACGTTTTCGAGACATACCTGAGCAAATCAGATACTGAGAAGCAGATCAAGATTAAAATTTTAGAGTACACCATAGAATAAAAATGCATGTTCAACACCCTATTGACAATAAATAATAAACATGGGTAAACCTAAACGGGGTTATATAAATTATATGACGAATATTTATGCATATACTATTACATGTTTCAAGTCATATTTACACCAAAAGTAGGACAGCAAATTATGATCACCGATACATAAACCTGCGATTATACAGCAGCAATATCGTGAAAGCAAAGTGAAATGAAAATAGTTGGAAACATCTAGATTACTCCACCACTGAAGTCAAGATGGTGGTATGCAGCGAGTCTCCAAGAGCTTACTACAATGTTTCTGTGGAAATCGCAGCTAATATTAACAAGGGCGATTGGGAACAAAGTATGAAGCGAAATTAGAAATGCGAACAACTACTAAGGAGAATGTAACTTCTCTTTAATTATTTCGCTAAGCTGTCGATCATCTAAATTAGCCATGTGTGGTGGTGGAGGAAGTGTAAATCCAGACATCGCTGACCGTATCACTTCAATCTTTTCTTAAACAAAAACATGAACTGAAAGAATGATCATCCGGCACATTGGACTTACCAGCATCTAGGCTGATGTTAACTGGATGATGTGGTATGACCTCATCAGACGCATTTTTTCGAGAAGAGCCTTCTTGTAAGAGCTTAATATGCAAAAGATATAGATCAAATGAGTAAACAAAGATGATGCGATGTTGCCCTTGAAAACAAAAAAAAA